AGTCTGTCTAACTCTGAAATGAAAACTAATGAAATGCTACTCTTCATCATTTCAAATACCTGATAAATTTAAACTATGTCTGTGAAAAATCTTGCTTGTAGGGCATTCAACAAGCAATCAGAAGGAATATTTGAAACTTCACACTTAAAACTTGCATTTAAATGCACATACGCACACGTGCTATCAACAGACCATACACAACTACTCTTACTATATATTTTTTTAACTTTGTCAATTTAACACAGAGAATATTCAGGTTTATTTCTGAAGACAAGGGAAAGTCAAGTTCATGCAATCTTAGCAATAAGAGTATGTTTCACTGCAAACACATACACACTTTTTTAGAACCAAACCCATACCTGAAATATCAAAGCTGGATCAATACATACAGATGGCTCTTTCTGCAAGTAAGGTAAATCACAAATACTTTCATTTACTTTACAGCTTACCATTTTTAAAGACTTTTTAATTCTTGTTGCTAGACTATATATATTTCAGGGTGGTCATTACCCTACACTTCGGATAAGGTTTATGCCATATCTGTAGGCAACTCATTTTGGGTTTTCTCTCTCAAGCAATTATCACTGGTTTAAGCCCAGAACTGTCCAAACAAGAACTTAGAATGCTTTGAGATGGAAGTGACCTTTAAAGCTCATCTAGTCGCAACCCCCCTGCCATGGGCAGGGACACCCTCCACTAGACCAGGTTGCTCAAAGCCTCATCCAGCCTGGCCTTGAACACTTCCAGGGATGGGGCATCCATAGCTTCTCTGGGAAACCTGTTCCAGAGGTTCCAACCCTCACCATAAAAAATTTCTTCATTACGTCCAATCTGAATCTACCCTCTTTCAGTTTAAAATCACTGCCTATCGGAACAGGCCCTACTGATCATACAAAGTCTGTCCCCATCTTTCTTATAAGCCTCCTTTAACTACTGAAAGGTCACAAAAAGTTCTCCCTGGAGCCTTCTCTTCTCCAGGCTGAACAAGCCCAACTCTCTCAGCCTGTCCTCACAGGAGAGGTGCTCCAGCCCTTGGAGCATCTTTGTGGCCTCCTCTGGACTTGCTCCAATGGGTCCATATCCTTCCTGCACTGGGGACCCCAGAACAGAACATAGTACCCCAGGTGCGGCTTCACAAAAGATGAGCAGGTCTTGACCCGATTCATATGCTCAGCTGTACTTCTTATTGAAAGAATGAAAAGTGTGTTTCTTTATAGTCTTTTTTATTATACTAATCAGTGTTAATCAACTCTGGGTATCAGTGATTTGGCATTTCTCAGCGCAAAATACACAAAGAAGTATACATGAGTGGACTTGCAATTAAAGGAAAGGATTTCAATGTACCCACTTTATTTTACACTTAAACAGACAAAGATTTAGTCATGAGAAAAAGGTGCTGTTTGACTACATATATACGTAGTCACAAAGTCAGATGCAACCATTACAACAAAATTGGACTGGCTTCCTCTATGATGCAAGTCATAAAATTACCTGAATGCTGTTAACTGTACAGACCATATTTTAGCGTGTATTTGCTACCCCTAGCTTCCATGCACTGTATTTTACAATATATTTATTTTAATTACTGCAGAGGACCTTTTTATTTTTTTTAATTACAAAATCTCAGGCAGGTATCTACAGGCTGTAATCTCTTAGCTCTGTCATTTCTTATTTGTTCAACTACACAAAATTAATCTCAAAGTCATTCATTGTTTGGTAGTATCTTTAAACATTCTGGAGGGTCTTCTCTGAGCATGAGCTCCATGACATAACCTATTTTGGGCAAAACTTTTACGCCTTTACCCCTTTAAATCCAGGATATAGAGAGCATTATCTAGTATGCCCCACTTTCTAGAGACTGGACCTCAGAAAGTCATGGTGGAGGGCTGGGGGAACAAAACCAAACAGTCTCTTGAAAGCAAGGTCTAAAATGTGATTAAGCAAGCTTCAAAAAAACAGGAGCTTGAGGGAGTAACAGGAGCTCCTGCCCTATTCCTGTCCTGTGACTCTGCTTTGCAGAAGTAAGAAGGGCTTCTGTAGAAGGTGGTCTGTTGCAGACAAGGGAACAGAGAGTAAAGAATGTAAGGGGAAAGAATAAGCAAAATGCATGGGACATCTGGAAGCAAACATGTCTATGTAGCAAAACTAGCAAGTTAGGAAATAAAGACCTGTGCAATGCATCTGAAACTACAATAGCTATCTGAAAAGGAATAAAGCAATAGAAACAGAAGTCAAGTCATTGGATGTAAATTTTCTATCTTTTTTGTTTGCCTTTTCTTTTTTTTTTGCTAAGTATACAAAAGAGAGACACTGGTCAATGAGAAAACACACACAAAACTAAATTGCTGTAAGAAAAGGCAACTACTTGCTAAGTTTTTAGAGATAAATAAAGAGCATGACAGAGCAGGAAACAGAAACAAAAGCTAATTGGGACAAAAATACCACATATGAGATGATAGGAAGGAGAACCCACTTCCCTTTACACCTGGGTGTACTTCATTGGATGAAAGGGCGGACTGACTGGGGAAAGGGACAGAAAGTACTCAGCAGTGACAAGGCCCAAAAGAAAACCACAGGAAAGAATAGAGGGATTTATGCAGGAGGGAAAGCCGCCTCCTGGCAGAGCCTGGCAGAGCCATGGAGAGGACTCAAACCAAAGCTAACGTGGCGAGGGGTCGAAGGGGTTGGGCGTGGTAAAGAGAAATGTATACTTCTTGGAGCCTCTGCACGGGGGGCTGTATGGCCTCAGACTGCCATATTACAGGGTAATCCTCTCC